TTAAAAAAAAAAAACCAAAAAAAAAACACTGCTATCTCCCAATTGTGAAATGTCAAAACAATTGATTTATAATAAATGCCCATGGTTTAAAAAAAAAAAAAGACTCTTCTACTTATTTTCTTTGGAACCTGACTAATATGTAGCAGGCATTCAGTAGTTTTCAATATATTGTTTAATAAAATCAAGATTTTTTACAAGCTAAGTATTTTGAATGCTCATTTTCATAATAAAATTTTTGGAAAGTCTCTAATGTATTTTGTACAGAGTAATTCTTCAAAGTCATGTATTTAATACATTAGAATTTCCTTGTTTCCTGTTGACATTTAGTAAATTATGGCCATGTGATTGCTTATGTATTTTCCATTTTCAGATTATTATATTCATCGAGTCTTTGGCTATAACCTTTTCTGGGGTCATCTAGATGAGTAGTTCTTAGATTTTTAAATTTCATAGAATAATAAAATTTTTAGTTAATTTTGAGCAATGTCTTAAATTTTGCTAAGTAAGCACATCAAGAGAAAAAAGTCACTGTCACCTACAGTCTTCATTTTAATACCAAAAAGGTAGAAAGAACATCACTTCCAGGTAAAATAGTCCTTCCTAAGAAAATCAAGACATATTATTGATTACTATATGCTAGGCATTATACCTGGTATTTAAAGATTTTTTATTTGTTTGAGAGACAGAGAAAGTTGGAGCAAGAGTGCGAGCAAGAGCATGAGCAGGGGGAGGGGCAGAAGGAGAGGAAGAAGCAGACCCCCTGCTGAGCAGGGTGCCTGATGTGGGGCTCCATCCCAGGACCCTGGGATCATGACCTGAGCGGAAGGCAGATGCTTAACTGACTGAGCGACCCAGGTGCCCCTACATCTAGTATTTAAATATGTTATCTAATTTAATTTTCAAAATAGCCCTGTTATTATATTGATTTGACTGGAAAAGAATTTGAGGCTCAGTTATATCAGGTAACTTGGTCAGAACAGGTTGATTTAATAGCACATGCTCTTAACATAGTTCAGGCACTTTTATAATTCAGAACAATTAGCCTAAAATGGTGGGTTTCTATAATTGTGAGTTTCTTTTTTTTTAAGATCTTATTTATTTATTTGAAAGACAGGGAGCACACGCACAAGCCGGGGGGAGAGGCAGAGGGAGAAGCAGGCTTCCCGCCAAGCAAGGAGCCTGACGCGGGGCTTGATCCCAGAACCCTAGGATCATGACCTGAGCCAAAGGCAGACGCTTAACCGACTGAGCCACCCAGGCACCCCTAATGCATATTTCTCAATAAAAATTTGTTACCATAGTGTTGTTTTTTTTTTTTTTTTTTTAAGATTTTATTTATTTATTTGACAGCACAAGTAGGCAGAGCGGCAGGCAGAGGGAAAGGGAGAAGCAGGCTCTCCGCCGAACAGGGAGCCCGATGCGGGGCTAGACCCCAGAACCCTGAGATCATGACCTGAGCCGAAGGCAGACGTTTAACCAACTGAGCCACCCAGGCGCCCCTTACCATAGGTCTTTATTTGATGGTCTTACACGAGCTCAAATAGCATATATAGGCATTCATTTTTACTCCACAGGTAATGATTAAAACCTCTGTTAAAGAAACAACCTTCTAAATGTTGATTTGTTTTGGAGTATTCTGGGTAAATTGATAAAATCCTGTTGGTTTTAGGATGTTTTTCCAGTTTTTTAACACCTTGTGCTGGTTAAGAAAGCACAAGATGGTAGTATTGTTGTCTGGCCATCTAGACCTACCAGGAGGGGGCAAAAAGGCACACCCCGTGCCCTTTCACTCCTGTCTAGAACATGATATGTAGGGTTCTGATGTAGTGACAGTGTTACCATTATAATCCACATAAATATGCACATACTTTGAAAATTTATGTCGGTGTCAAGTTGCTTGCTTTTTTCTAGGAATGGTAAGACATTTTGAGATTTTTGTGCTAAAAAATATTACCTTTAAACTTTAGTTTGAATGACACTTTTTACACTTGCTAACTATGTACAAAATCATTTATTCTCTGGACCTGTCTTTTCATCTGTTAAAATTAGTAAGATTTATCTCAAGTATATTGTCAACTCAAATGAGGCAGGATAAGTGAAAACTAGAAACTAAGGGACATTTTAGGTGGTTGGAAGCCCATCAGGGTGTTTAAAGCAGAATAGTGATGTGATAACGCTATTTTAGTTTGGTTGGTAAGATGTTGGATCTGAGTGACGGTAGAGGGGGAGTAAGGCTAGAGGAAGGCAGAATAGAAGGGGAAGATCATAGGTGAACTTAATGACATCGAGAGTGGACGTGAAAAATGTAATCAGTCATTTTGGAGGGAAAAATCAGTATTTCTGGGTGATTGAGAGGAGGGAGAAGAATCTCTTGCCTCCCAGATTTATTTGCGGTAAATATTTGACTGCCTGTTACTTGCAGTCTTGCTGGGCATTGCTGTATACAGGCACAGCCGCTAAGGCCCTATAGGAATTGATAGTCTTTGGGGTCTGGGTAGGATGCTGCCTGCATTCATGAGCAGAACATTTGGGAGTGAGTGCTGGTTTGTGTTATTAAGTCAACATACCCACTTGTAAGCAAGTTGAGTTCTGTGCCACAGATATGGGTACAGAATATGGCCATATAATTTTTATGTGGTCTTCATGTTATTTGTTTGCAAAGTTCCATTAATGTTTGGGAAAATGATAATTTTAGGCATTTGGAAAGATTGTATTTTACTCCTAATAGTGCTGAGTATGTAATGAAACTCAGGGCTTTCAGATAATTTGCATTCATTCAGTCATACGTGGTGCTATTTTTGGGGAAAAACATTTCTGAATCTTATGTACATAAATTTGAGTATTCATTACAGGCTTGTCAGTTCTAGTTATTGTCAGTGTTAAAAGGATTTAAATAAAATTTAGCTGTAAACTGGGCTAATGGATTTCTTTATTGTGCAGCAGTGGTTCTCAAACCTCAGATTGCATCGAAATCATCTGGAGGGCTTGTTAAAACATAGGTTACTGGGTCCCACCCCAAGCTTCTGATTTAGTAGGTCTGGGGTAGGGCTGAGAATTTGCATTTCTAACAAGATGATGCTTATGTTAAGACCTACTGTTACATAATTAGTAATAAGATTATATTAGGAAATCACAGTTTAGCTTCTTAAAAAACACTTCATGAAAAGATTAGTAAAAAATACATAATGCCTAAGAAATAAACTTAATTTGATACAGCTCAAATCCAAATCCCCTCAGGATGTAGTAAATATAAAATTTCTTTTATAATCTTTGCTAAAAGTTATTCTTATTTATTTAGCACTAGAACTAATAATTAGGAAAATATCTTTAAAAATACATTAGAGGGGAGCCTGGGTGGCTCAGTCGTTGTCTGCCTTCGGCTTGGGTCATGATCCCAGGGTCCTAGGATCAAGCCCTGCATCGACAGCTCCCTGCTTCGTGGGAGGCCTGCTTCTCCCTCTCCCTCTCCCCCTGCTTGTGTTCCCTCTCTCGCTGTGTCTCTCTCTGTCAAATAAATAAATAAAATCTTTAAAAAAAATAAAAATAAAAATACATTAGAGACCTAAACATTGTTCTCTACTCACAACAAATAGTTGACTCTTTAGAGGTAGTATTTAGAGGTATGAGATACCTCTAAAAACTTAATTTATCCAATGCTTTTCCTTGAAGTTAAAAATCAGACTTGAATTTTTAACAAATTTAATACTTGCAGTGAAAAAACAAAACACCCATTCATTGAAGGTGGATGGTTTGTTTTCCACTTTGCTTCTCTTCCCTGATCAGCCCCATAGTGTCCTGAATTTCAAAAACTAAAACTATTGGAGGATGAAACGTGACAATAGGGTTAATGTAGTATGTCAACCTAAAGTAGTTTCAGTAATTTCAAAAAATCTTATATTTTTTTAGCTAATGGGAATGACAACAAGAAATTTAAAGGAGATAGACCTCCCTGTTCGCCTTCCCGTGTTCTCCATCTTCGCAAAATTCCAAGTGATGTCACCGAAGCAGAGGTCATATCATTAGGTCTACCATTTGGCAAAGTTACTAATCTTTTGATGTTGAAAGGAAAAAGCCAGGTATGTAATGTTTAAAGATTGAACCACAGTGATTATCTCTGGGTATTAGTGTTAAAGATGACTTTATTTTCTTGAACTTTTCTGTGTTTTCTAAATTTCATTTGCTTTACATAAGTAGTTTTTTCAGTAGAATTTTTTGTGTGCGTGACAGGAAGCAAGAAACAAAAATATTAACACAGGACATAGAATTATCTCTTATTCAGTGACTTGTCCTTTTCTTCCTTAACAAAAAACATTTTATATTCTTAATTACAAAATAGTTTATGAAAATATCCTTTTGTTATCAGAAGACCAAGACAGAGAGAGAGGATATAAATTATACCTTATTTGGCAATTAAAGAATATTTAAGTTTTCCAAAATCTTTATAGAAATGTATAGTATATTTTAGTTTTAGAATTAACGTATAGTTTCTTTAATAATTCCAAAGAGACTGTTAGAAGTTTTTCATTTCAGAAGTTAATAGGTTTTTCTTAAGACGAATAAGGAAACTTGCTTTTGTGGTGACCATGATGAAAATACAATACTTTTTATGTTAACTTGAACAATTAATCTGCTTTCTTGTTCCAGCTTAGACCCCAGTAGGATGAATTCTTTAGTTCTTTCCCAGTTTTTGGTCGTCCTGAATACCTTTATTCTGAGCATTGCTATAAGAGGAGGACAACAAATTTAGGCCCTAGATATTGTGTAATACAGTGTGATAAATCCCTATTTCTTAGAATTTTCATAAATAAGTTCAAGATACATTATAAATAGATTTATAAATAGATTGATACGTGTTGGATATGGAAGAGATTGGAAGATTCTGGCCCTTTAGTAAACTAAATAAACATTCCCATTTAATTCAGATGAAGTTATTTAAATCTGGAGAGGTTAGATAACATGTCTTAGTATTCAACTTTTGTTGTGTTTACACATTTATCGTACATCTTTTGGAGATAGTACATGCACTTGGATCTTTATTTTAATTCAGTTGCCACTATTGAGAATAGTGTGGTTTACGTAGTTTTGAAAGAGCCAACTTGGCCAAGTCTAATGGCTGTGAGATTTATCATGAATGTATATCATGTACAGTATCATGTTTCATGTAGTGTATCCTGTACATTCTGTCAAATGGTTATGAGGGGCAGCAGGCAACATCACACTTTGTCTCTGCCATTGGTTCTGGATTTATTATTTATCTGTGTGCTGACTGTTAGGTTAATTGCTTATCTTTGGATCATAAATCCTGTTTAGAAAATATTTTGTTAGTAATATACTTTAGCAAGAGAGTGTCATGTGAGCCATTAGAACTACTTGTAGGTGTAATCTCTCCTATGTTACTTAGAGGTAGAGTGTTGAGGGCGTGGGGGATATTTGAACCAGCCTTTCTGTGAGTAGTGACTTTTGGTTTTTTCTCCACCCCTTATTATGGAAATGGATTTCTCTGGATACTTTGGGAAAACCTAAATAATTCCTTTACTGGGCTCCATGTGGAAAAATTTATTTTTACGTATGAATTTTTAGGTTGTATATACTTTCAGGAAAAATTTTCTATAACAAAAATCATGTATTCCAAAGACGTTTAGCTTTTCTTTTGTGTGACTGTTAGACATTGAGTTTAGTTCTTTGCATTTATGAAGGAGTTTTCAAAAAGATACTCTTCCCCCCATACAGTGAATATTATTAGCAAACAGTTTACAACTTCTTTGTTGAAAAGATGATTAAAAACCAGATAGGAAGTATCGCTATAGCTATTTTGGTTACCTTGGTCATTTTTAACCTCTTAGAAAAACTAGTAAAAGTATATTACTGATATATTTGGATAGTGGTTTTAAATTGCATTGTGGACATTTATTCCTTGAAGATAGTGGAATTTTATCTGTTGTGGATTAATTAATTAATGATATTTGATCGACTGTCATGTGGCTAACATTATTACCTCATAGAATATTATTAGTTCATTAAAGCATTTAATTGATTCACTTGTGACATTTGATTGATACAGTTAAGCATCACATTTAACATTTGTCAAGTTAGTATTCCTTTACTGGAATATTTGCCAAATAGAAACATTTAGCAAGTAATATAACTATAAACAAATAAATTGTTTTATAGATATTTGCCATTTTCTGTGTTCAGGAAATTTTGTTGTTAATAAATACATATTTTTATAAATAAATTGTAAATGTTTTATGCATAATTTGAAGTGGTTACTGTACACTTGCTCTGTTGTAGTGAAAAAGAATTGTCTAGAAATTTGCATTGATTGGGATCAGGGGTTCTTCCTGCATTTTAAATTTGAGATGTTCTTACAGGTAGTTCTGAGGGGTCAGAATGGTTACTATTTCATCTTCCTAACTAACCATTAAGATAGGGTGGCAAAACCTATCACAGAAGTTTCAGGAGTTTTAATAGCCAGTAGAAGCCATATATAGAAGAAGACATAAGTCCCAAGGATCTTCTTCTATCTCAGCTCTTCCTGTATTATTTTTCAAATATATGATACTGGTACAATGATTACAGACAGATATTAAAAGATGAAATTCAGTTGAGTAAATTTTAAAGATTTTATTGGCTCTCTTCAGCAGTTCATGAATTGGGCAGCATCCCATCTAGCAGATGGAAAGGAGCTATGAAGAACAGTGCAAAATGAAAGACTTTTATAGGCAGAATAGGGTGAGACAAGGAAGTTACTAGCAGAGTGAATTCTGTCAGGCAAGGTCACCTTCCTTTAGGGATGGTGGGGGTCTGTCAGGCAGATAACCTCACTAGTGCTGACCAGGTAATTCAGATGGATTGGTTTAAGATTCCACTCTGGGGAGAGGTTGAAACTGCTCGGTATTAAGTCTTGGTTTGGTGACTTTGGCTTAGTACAGGTGACATCATTTTGGGCCTGATGTCTCTCAATTTTTTTTTTTTTAAAGATTTTATTTATTTGTCAGAGAGAGTGGGAGCGCGCGCAAGCAGGGGGAGCGGCAGGCAGAGGGAGAAGCAGGCTCCCCGCCGAGCAAGGAGCCCGCTGTGGGACTAGATCCCAGGACCCTGGGATCATGACCTGAGCCGAAGGCAGATGCTTAACCGACTGAGCCACCCAGGCGTCCCTCTGTATTTTTTAACACAGATCTCAAAAAAAGTCACTTGAATGACTCAAATCAATATTGACTTAATGTAGGAAGTTCTCCAATTTCCCTAATTTGAACAATTGAGCCTTTGCACATGAATGCTCTTTTTAATTGCATCATAAACTTAATTGTAACATAAACTTAATTGTATCATAAACAGCTGTTTAGTAGAAGGTAAAGGAGAGCAAATCATTATGCCCCACCCCCACCACTCCCCCGCATCTTGGAGAAGTTTTTGTTTAGGAAAGAGCCATTAAATCCAACCCCTGAAAGCATCCATTTACAGTGCTGATGCTCACCTTTATTTTTGCCTTTTTAATTATTTCTAGATTTTAGAAAAACAGAAAAAAGAAGAAAACCAAAAACCACATGAAATCATTTATTCACCTGGCAAATTTCCCAGTCCCAAGTCCTTTATTGAACCCAATTTTTCAAATGTGTTTTCAGTTAACATCAGTGGTACACTTTGAAGCAAAAGTCTTTTCATAGTTCTTAGCTGTCTTTCAAAACATGAGCTTTCACTTTGCTTTCTTGTGTTTATTGCAGGCTTTCTTAGAAATGGCTTCTGAGGAAGCTGCTGTTACTATGGTGAATTATTACACTCCTGTTACTCCTCACCTTCGAAGCCAGCCTGTTTTTATTCAGTATTCCAACCACAGAGAACTTAAGACTGACAATCTACCTAATCAAGCTGTAAGTATTAAAGGCATTTTAAAAATTAGTTACAAGAACACATGGTATAATAATGTAAAATTAATTTTCTATTTTTCAGAGGGAAAAAAAATCATGTGATTTCCTTCATGTTGGGATGCGTGTAAAGATTAGTAAAGATTGTGCGTGTAAATTCTTACCTGAAGGCTTAAGTATACTACTTAGAAATAGGTTTGAAGTTATGGTATTAGGAATTGTGTTAGTTTTGCCTTGAAACTTCATGAGTAAAAGAAAAAACTTATATTCTTATCTATCTCTTAAAATTTCAGATCTAAAAGGAACTTTTTACAGAACATACAGAATATATAATAGAGGCATTAAGAATCTGAGTGAAGGGCGGCGCCTGGGTGGCTCAGACGGTTAAGCGTCTGCCTTCAGCTCAGGTCATGGTCCCAGAGTCCTGGGATCGAGTCCCGCATCGGGCTCCCTGCTCCTTGGGAGCCTGCTTCTCCCTCTGCTTCTCTCTCTCTCTGTCTCTCATGAATAAATAAATAAGATCTTTAAAAAAAAAAAAATTAAAAAAAAGAATCTGAGTGAAGCTTCTTCTGTTGTGATGTTAAGTAACTGAACTTAACATTTAAAATGTTAATAAGAATTTGTATAGAAACGGTCATTAAATGAATTTTGACTCTTCTAGATGAATGTGGAATGTAGAATATCAACATCTCTAACCTAATTTTGCAGTTTTTATTTTGATATAGTTCATGTTGACTTCTTCTTTGTCTCTCCAGGTTGATATGTAGTAGCTAAAAGAGTAATTTGAAGTTACTTAAGGCTAGAAAAATTAATCCACAAAGCAGTAAGGAGGTTTTTTAGTATGTTAAGCGCAAGTTGGTCCCTATCCTCTTGCACAAGGCAAAAGAACTCCTCCAGCTCTTTGATTCTGTGTTGAAAGTCACTATGGTACAAGCTACTGAGTTAAATTATAGTTTTCCACATTTTTAAAACAATAACTTCTCCTGTGCATAATCCTTAACTTGTTCTAAGAGATATTAATGATGTATAATAACCTACATAAATTTAGTAAATGAGATGTTAGATACTAAATTTTTTAGGTATTAGACTTTTTAAAATCAAAAACTGACTTATAAATTCTAAATAGCATACCTTCTCATGGTAAAACATTCAAACCACCTAGAAAAGTAAAAAATAACAACAATAACAACATCAAAAAACAATCCAGTTATCCAAAGAGAGCTAATTAGCTAACATTTTGTAACGGTTTGGTGTGTACCCCTTCTCTATTCAGGCGTATAATTTTCTATGTATATAATTTTACGTCAATGGAATTCTAATGTTTTGAAAGGTGTTATTTTTTCTGTATAATGTGTCATGGATATTGTTTTGTGGCAATAAAGGTAAAATCACGTCATGATTTAAAAAAAAATTTTTTTTTAAAGATTTTATTTATTTATTTGACAGAAAGAGAGACAGGAGAGAGGGAACACAAGCAGGGGGAGAAGGAGAGGGAGAAGCAGGCTTCCCACGGAGCAGGGAGCATGATGCGGGGCCCAATCCCAGGACCCTGGGATCATGATCTGGGCCGAAGGCAGATGCTTAACGACTGAGCCACCCAGGCGCCCCACGTCATGATTTTTAAATGAATGCATAATACTCCGTTCTGTAAGATAGCCATAATCTATCAATGTCTTGTTAATAGACTTCGAAATTGTTTCCAATTTTATGCTTTTACAAATAACACTGTAGCAACATTCTTACATATCTTAGCACACTTGCAACGTTTTCTTGCTGGTTTACATTTGTGGCCTCAAAATTGCTGGGACTAAACATACGCATATTTTATATTTTGATACATGTTACCTGTATGCTTTTTTTTTTTTTTAATTTTTTTTTAAAAGATTTTATTTATTTTTTTGACAGAGACACAGAGAGAGAGAGGGAACACAAGCAGGGGGAGTGGGAGAGGGAGAAGCAAGCTTTCCGCTGAGCGGGGAGCCGGATGCAGGGTTCGATCCCAGAACCCTGGGATCATGACCTGAGCCGAAGGCAGACGCTTAACGACTGAGCCACCCAGGCGCCCCACCTGTATGCTTTTTTTAAAGAATATATTTTACTTAAGTTGCCACTGATAATGTGTGAGCAAGCAGTTTTCTTGTCATCTTTGTTAATATGCTAGATGAGAAATTATATCTTATTATTTACTTAATATTTATTTGATAACTTACATGTATAGTGATTTCTGTTAATGCAGTTTTTTCCTCATTTTTAAAACTGGTAAAAAAATATATGTAACATAAAATTTACCATTTTAACCATTTATAAGTGCAGCATTCGGTGCATTCATATTGTGTAACCCATCACCACCATCTTCTCCAGAATTCGCTCATCTTCCCAAACTGAAACTCTGTACCCTAAACACTAATTCCTCATTCCCCAACTCTGCTAGCCTCTGGCAACCATTCTACTTTCTGTCTCTGAGTTTTGTCTGCTAATACATTTTTTAAAATATTTTTATACAATAGTCAAATCTCTTTAAGATTGTATTATGGTTTCTTATTTTGATACCATGCTCATAAAGACCTAGCATAGCAACATTTAAAAAACTTTGTTTTTACCTATTTCTTCTCATACTTCGTGTTTTAGCTGTCTTTATTTTAATGTTTAAATTTTTGTTTTATTAGAAATATTTTGGAGTTGGGGAGTGAGAGTAGGCTTTGGTCTTTTTTTTTCTTTTTAACTCCCAGTTGACCAGTTTCTCCCTTATTGTTTTTTTGAATAACCCACTTATTATTATCCACTCATGTGAAACTTGTCCTTTGTCATGTTCTAGTTTTCCATACACTTGCTTTTCCCTACTTACAATATACATATATACACTTACTAGACATGCATACACATTCTGTTTGCATGGCCCATGTTCCCTCATGTGTGGGCTGCTTACTTGGTATGCACTCAGTGTCTAATCCAGACTACCTTTTGGATTCCATTCTGTTCCATTCCTGTTTCCATGTCCCTAGGGCTCATGTCTCCAGTATTGATCTATTGAATAGGGCAAAGCCCCATATTTTACTCTCTCTTTTTAGCCATTAAATAGTTACTATATTTTTAAAATTTATTTATTTATTATTATTATTTTTTTTTTAAGTAGGCTGCATGCCTAGCGTGGAGCCCAGTGCAGGTCTTGAACTCAAACCCTGAGATCAAGACCTGAGTAGAGATCGAGTCAGATGTTTAACCGACTGAGCCACCCAGGCACCCCCAGCTAGTTACTATATTTTATTTATTTCTTCATACAGAATAGAATTATTTTGGTAACTCCTACCCCTTCCTAAAAAATTGGATTTGGGTTGATTTTATAGGTTAATTTGAAGATAATTAACATATTAATATTACTCTCTGATCCTTTGGAAGAAGAAGTTATATTTTGTCTCCTGTCTTTCATTAGAGTTTTTAATTTTCCTTCATATAAGTCATGGAAGTTTTCTTATTAGTTTGATTCCTAAATATGTTAGTATAAGTCTTGAAGAAGAAATAAACAATTTAATAAACTCTTAAAGACTGGATTATTCTAAAGGGAAACTGTGAGAAATCCCAGTTGCTTGGCAACCAAAGCCAGCCGAAATGACCTAGTTTATTCTTAGATAGCCTTGATTTCTTCCCAGTGCCCTTTCCCATTTTGTTACTTTTGTGCAGTTTTTATGCATTGGTGTTTGATAAAATATAATAATTTTTCTTTTATTCAAAGTCCTACACCAAAGCTGAAGTCAGAATTGAAAGTACCTGTTTGCATATATAAAATGTACTAAATGTCTTTTAATTCTGACAGCTTCAGAAAACTGACAAATTACTATTTCATTATCTTTTGTTCTCTGAATAGCAAGATAACCCTAAACATGCACATAACTTCTTTTCTAGCCTATGGACATACTTGCCAGAAGGTCAGGTGAATATCAAATATTTTATCCTTTTATTTAAACTAAAATTACTGCTAAAACATTTAGATCATATTTTGAAGTTAGCATTTGAGATACAGTTTTATTAATTATAGTTATTATGGTATAGACAGGTTTTTTTTGACCTGTGGGTGAACATTTATAAACCTGCAAAGAGATAACCATGGAAGGATTTTCCCTAAAAATGTTGCCCTAAGAAATCATCAAGGTGTACACTTATGATCTGTGCATTTTATTGTATATTCATTTCCAACTCAATTTTAGAAATGTCTTTTTCACATTGTCCAGCCACATTTAAATTTTACATGAAGTATATTTGCCCTCCCCCACCATGATAAAATATTTGTTGATTTGCCAATCACACTACTGCTATTTTCTTTATTAATAGTTACTACAACTATTTCAGAAAGTTTGTTTGTAAAACATTTAAAAATTAGGGACACCTGGGTGACTCTGGGTTAAGCATCTGCCTTTGGCCCAGGTCATGATCCCAGAGTCCTGGGATTGAGCCCCCCTAGTCACATTCCCTGCTCAGTGGGGCGTCTGCTTCTCCTTCCTCTGCTTCTCCCCCCAGCTTGTGCTCTTTCGCTCGCTCTCTCCCTAATAAATAAAGTCTTAAAAGAATTTTTTAAAAATTATCTCCCGTAGTAGGAATTCTGCTGCCTCATAATTTTTAGCATCAAAGACACACAACATAAGTCAGCTATGTGAAATAATTTTTTTATATATTAAAAAAAACATTTCTTGGGGCGCCTGGGTGGCTCAGTTGGTTAAGCGTCTGCCTTGGGCTCAGATCATGATCCTAGAGTTCCTGGATCAAGCCCCGCAGTGGGCTCCCTGCTCAGCAATGGTCTGCTTCTCCCTCTGCCTCTGCCCCTCCCCCTGTTCCTTTTCTCTCTCTCTCTTTCTCAAATAAATGAATAAAATATTTTTAAGAAGATTAAAAAACATTTCTCATTTTTTCCCGACTTTTCTGTTGTCCTCAGTGGAGAGTATGCCTCAGTTTTACTTTTTTAAATGTTTTGCCTAATTAAAAATTGAAACTACAGAGTTATTTATAAAATAAAT